CAAGGCCCAGAGTATGGATGAAAAATGGAGAGACACACACTGCAAGATGCTTGAAGTCCAGTGTGAAGTTTCCACAGTCTGTATTGATTTGGGAAGCCATGTCATCTGCTGGTGTTGGTCCACTGTGCTTCATTAAGTCTACTTAATGAAGCACAGCCATCTAACAGGAGATTTTGGAGCACTTCATGCTTCCTTCCGCAGACGAGCTTTATGGGGATGCTGACTTCATTTTCCAGCAGGACTTGGCACCTGCCCACACTGCCAAAAGCACCAAAACCTGGTTCAATGACCGTGGGATTACTGTGCTTGATTGGCCAGCAAACTCGCCTGACCTGAACCCCATAGAGAATCTATAGGGCTTGCCAAGATAAAGATGAGACACCGAACAATGCAGAAGAGTTGAAGGCCGCTATTGAAGCATCCTGGTCTTCCATAATACCTCAGCAGTGCCACAGGCTGATAGCTTCCATGCCACACCGCATTGAGGCAGTAATTGCTGCAAAAGGGGCCCAAACCAAATACTGAGTACATATGCATGCTTATACTTTTCAGAGGTCCGATATTGTTCTATGTACAATCCTTGTTTTATTGATTGCATATAATATTCTAATTTTCTGAGATTGTGGATTTGGGGTTTTCATGAGCTGTAAGCCATAATCATCACAATTATGACAAATCATGGCTTGAACTATCTTGCTTTGCATGTAATGAGTCTATCTCATATATTAGTTTCACCTTTTAAGTTGCATTACTGAAATAAATAAACTTTTCCACGATATTCCATTTTTTTGAATTTTACCTGTAGTATAGTTATGGTTGCTATGTATGTTTTCTATAGGGGAAAAATTGTCCAACTAGGTATAATAGAAAGATAACAGTATTGAGAAGAAATTGATTCCTCTTGCAAACTAAAAAAACTTCAGTGAGAACAGTAAAAAGGTAAGCATAATATTTTGGGATGAAAATTACTGTAGAAAAGGAGAAAAAATGCAAAGGATATAATCCAGATTTTCTTTCTTCTAATGAATAAGTTAGTACTGCAAGCTAATGATCTGTTGTTCGGTAATATAAATTAGCAATGATTAAAAATTTTAATCTTCTGAGATGCCATATTTTCTCACTAACATCTGCTTTCTCAAAGTAGAATATGAACACAGACTTCTGGGTGATGTTATGAGTAAAGTATTTAATAAGGAAACAAAATAAAAAAATGCAACATGATTTTGCATAGATTCTTGAATTATAATAACCAGTAATCCTGGATTTTATTTAAATGAAGCATTTCTGCTTCAGAAGAATTATCAGTCTAAAGAAAGCTCACAAGAATCCAGAATGATATATTTTATTAGTACAATTCCAAGATACTAACAATGCACAAAACAATGTCAAAGACAAACATTCAGTTGACTGCACTTTCTGGATGCACCAAGATAGAGCAGAACTAAATATGAAAGGTGATGCAATAGTTAGAGTGCAGTACTGCAGGCTACTTCTGCTGATCACCAGCCAGCAGTTTCGCAGTTCAAATCTTATCAAGCTCAAGGTTAACTCAGCCTTCCATCCTTCCGAGGTGGGTAAAATGAGAACCCAGATTGTTGGGGGCAACATGGTGACTCTGTAAACCACTTAGAGAGGGCTGTAAAGCACTGTGAAGTACGTAAGTCTAAGTGCTATTGCTATGTTGGCACAGAGCAACAGAAAGCACATCCTTTAAAGCAGTCTGGTGGCATACAATGGCATTTTTTGTTTTCTAAGTAAAAACTTCAGCTTTAAATATAAACCTGTTATTAACCTCTTATTTGAAAAATAAATTATGTGGTGTCACTAATAGAAGCAGATATACCAGTAATACATAGATATATAGCATATCTCAAAACACGATATAGCTAAATACACTAAATACTCCCAAAATTTGTTGTTGCTTACAATTAAGAAATATGTCAACAAAATAATTACATACAAAGATGCATTTTATACCAAAAAGATTCAAAAGTTACCGACTGATGACCACTATTTTAGATCTATACAACTTCTCCTATGAATTATTTCAAAACAGGTTTTTAAAAAACACTGAATTTTGCCCAACCACAAGGACCTACTTCAAGAGTGGAATTAGCAGCAAAGATTATACATAAGCAGTTCAGCAAACTATTCCATATTCTAATGAATACCAGATAGAACTACACAGCCTTCACTAAAAAGTGTTGAATGCTATATTTGATATTTAAAGAGTATCCAGCTACCATCCAGGTAAAGACTCTCACTATCAATATATAAAAAATAGTTTGACAAAGTAATCCAATTTTACCAAAACATTTTTAGCAAATCTGGAAGAGATAGTCCAAAGATTGTACTAGCATTGGGGAGAAATAAAGTTCAGTGATAAATACATTATTTTTTTCCAATTACACTGAAAACCTGAAAAAAATAATACAATTAAATGTCATCAGCAATTAATCAGGTTTGAAAATGAACCTGAAGATACAAGACATGTTCAACAACTACTTCCAACTTTTGCCAATAAAATTGGAAAATCATGAACTGGAACAGATCAATAGTTCTGGCCATATCAAAGGATTACCATGAAGGAGATACTATAAGAGACATTTTGAAACTAGGTTGAAGAGATTTGGACAATCTCATGCTGTATTCAAAGGCAAATGCTTAACACCATGACAAGAATAAATTCATACTGATATGTATGTGACCTAAAAAAATGGGTAGTCTCATAGAAATTGCAAATGAGCCAGCCATATTGCATGATGAATAGATCAACAGTGGACAACAGCAATCCTTGAATGGATACTGACTGACATTTAAAATATATATATAGTACTCAATTTAAAAGTGCGGTAGACAATATAGAGGATGGCCTTGATGAATAAAGGGAAGATCTGTTGCTAAGGCAACAATCATATAAAATTAAAGCCTGAGAGATTTATGAAAAAGCTTCTAACAGCACCCTCCCCATTCAGTTAAAGGTAAAAGAGGAAGGACGGAAGTACCTTCAGAACATATAAGATTCTACTACAGAAGTAGAGTTTAAGGAATGGTATTTTAGGTTCTGTTCTTACTCCTTTGCTTATCTCAATATAATAATTCACAGGATTGTTTTCCATCAATTTGAGGCAAATGTAGTGAGCAGATCGAGAGAGACAATCCAGAAATTTTTAGATATTTGGGTAAATAAATGTGATCAAGATGAACCAAGTATAAAGGTTATTGAACAAATATGTATGAGAAAGGCATCCTCTCAGTTAATTCTTGCACAAATTACAATTTCTTGTAATTTGTGCCATATAGCAAAATATGTAAAGCTATTTGTAAAAAAGTATGGGAACAAGTTGTTAAAAACTTTCATTGGCACTGTAAGAGCCTTGAGACATATTCAAAGAATCCACTTAAAGCACCAAACTGAAGCCAGTTAGTTAATTCCATTTTAATTACCTATTCACATCATGGTTTCACCAGAGCATCAGATTGAGATAAACATTGGCTATGAAAATAATCATTAACATTGGCTTCAAAATTCAGCTCTTCTTTGGACTTAACATTATTTGACTACTGAAATCCTAGCAAGTACTATAATACCGTGTTTCCCCGAAAATAAGACAGGGTCTTATTTTCTTTTGACCCCTGAAATAAGTGCTTGGCCTTATTTTCAGGGAGATCTTATTATTTTTGAAGTGCAGGAGGCGGTGAGTGTGGTCACCTCATGGCTACTATTGTGTTGCAATATTTTCAGAGAGGGCTTATTTTAGCACATGTGCTCAAAAGCCAGATTGGCCTTATTATCCAGGGAGGTCTTATTTTTCAGGGAAATAGGGTTCCTATTTATTTACTTTTAATACCTATTTGTAATGCTATAAGGTATGGAAAACATTAAGCTGCAAAATACAGATTTAATTCATTTATCAACGAAAACAATTATCTAATATTGAGAGACAATCCCAGTTAAAACTAGTATGTGTTTATAGAATAAACACTGTCTCTGCAATATTATTTATTTTGGATCAATTCCACATTTTGTGGAATCACTTTTTAAAACTTTCACAGAATGGAAAAAATATGTAATTTTGACCTTTTTTTCAAGCATTTTACTATTTAGTCTTTTCATTCATCTGTTATTGGTGTTCTTGAAAAGAGGAATGCACCTTTTTTTGCAGGAAGATGATGATTTTTTTTTAATATAGCCTCTGAAATAATGATGTAGGTTCGCATTAACTAGTGGAATGTTGCTTTAAATAATGTAAAATAAGCTAAACATAACCTTAAAATAAGGTTAACCTAACAAAAAATATTTTCTGTATAATGGACAGAAAATAGGCAACAAAAAGTGTAGGATGTTTGTGTGTGTATATAAGTTGTAATGTAATGTAATGCAATGTAATAATGTAAAATATTCTGGTTGTAGACATAGGATTTTTATAGTTGCTTTAGTTTATAAGTAAATCCAGTAAATTTCTTCCATCTCCCTTTTGGTATTACTCATGGTAAAGTATGTATATGGATCTTATCTGCTTCCTTGAATAAAAGGAAATAATATTTTCAAGATTTTCACTCAGCTCAAACATACACTATAAAAATTAATAAACACTGGCAAAATGAGTTTCCTGTAAGAATCCCAAATCTTAAAGAGTATCTCAATTTGTCTTTGGTATCTTTCAATATTTTAAATAAGTGTTGATTTCACTACATTAATAACTTCCCCAAGAAACATGTTCATCCTAATTCTAATTACAGTACTGAATATGGCTGTATTATGTCTCACACAGCCAACTGAACTTTTAAAAGGAAAAAAACTCAAAGTAAATGCTATATCCAAACTTTCCCCAAATCATGTCACTCTTATATATATATATATCAAACACGTTTCACAACTTTTAAAATACGATTTCCTTTGAACTCAAAATGTGATCCTGTTTTAAGGATCCCATTTTCTTATTTTATATCAACCACAAACTAAATGGCATCCTCATAATAATATCAGCAGCACTTACTCATCATACTTGATACGATAAATAATATCTTCAGTATCCATATAATCTGTATAAGATGTGGAAGGTGTATTGTCCAAATTATTTGTATTTTCTCTAGAATGATCTTGGCTCAAGTTTCCATTAGTCCTTTTGTAATTACTGCCACTCTTTCCTTGAGCTTTTCCATTTTTATGTCCTTTTGTTGCTCGAGTTACATTTTCTATATGAGCTTCGAACCAGGATCCAATAGTGACATCTCGGGCATCCACCAATTCATTTATCTAAAAATAAATTTGACATTTAGTGAATGTTATGCTTTTATAACAAATGTGATGATGTTGAGCTTCTGTGCTAACTATATTTACACTTATACTAACTTAATTCTACTTTGGCATTTTTGTCTCTACGCTCTTATACTGCCTACATTGAAAGTTGTAAAAACAGATTTCATAAAATAGGATAGTCCTTTGTTCTGCCCTATTGGAATTCCTCCAACATATGAAGCAGATCTGGAGTTGTGCAAAAAATGTGTGAGAATAAAGAAATGTCGGTGGATGCCATTTTAGCAGCAAACTATTGCCATTGGGTATAAACCTGATTGTCAGAAAACTGTTTTCAAATAGAAGTTGTACAAAAACTATATATTTAATGAAAATAGAATATTGGGCTATATATAATATTCTTCCTTCATAATATTATTAACACCAATGATTTAATGTATCTGCAATTTTTTAATACATGTATGGCCAACCTGTGGGCCACATGAAGCCCTGGATAGCTAGTAATGCGGCCCCACAAGATTATAAACTTTTAACAGTATGCAATTTTTATAACTAACAATATTAGTTATATATTATAGGCAGCCCAAGACGTAATACCTCTTCATTTCATGTGGTTCAGGCAAGCCAGACAGTTGGACACCCATGTTTTATTTGTTGCCTCTATTTTAACTGGATGTTTCTAACTGGATGTTTCTATGTACTGTTTTCCTAATAATCATATTTTCTGTAGAATTAATCCTTCATCACACAATAATTAAATAATTGAATCAAGAATACTTTATTTCCCTCTTGCTATGTACCATATTATAATGCAAGATACACTTAACATTTCACATATAATATAAATATTTAAGACTTATTAATCTTGATAAAGTATACTCTTTTAAATAACAAAGATTGTGTAAAACAACACAGCCTTGCTGTGCACCCAAAACCATGAACTCACCACTGCACCAGACTTTAACAACAAATTCCCTTTATGTAGTAAATTTTCACTTTTTTTATTTTAGTCTCCTACATTTTGCTGAAAAATGCATTTTATATCTTTCAAAAATATGCTCCTAAACCTATACTAATTAAAGTCACATTATAAATTAATGTCATGCAAGCAGATTGCCATGAAAATAGTCAGATTAACTTCCTTAGCTTTCTCCATACCCCATATTACCCAACCTCTGCAGATATCTAGGAAAGCTACAGAATCAGAAAGAAATTGATTCTTAGTAATACATTCCACAGATACATTAACATAGTTGTACACAGGTCTGTTTATATAGACACCCAATGACATCCATAGACAATGTATTTTAAAATAGATAAAATACACTTTAAAATATAGTATCATAAACCAACAATCTAAAGCACAGGTTTCCAAGATAAATTTTCAGGTACAATGAAAGCAATCAACTAATATACACTATTTATCTGTACTTAAAATCTGTCTCAACATAATAAGTAACTTGAAAACAGAATAGAGACCAAACACGTTTATATTAGTATAATAAATTCTTTCATAACAAAGTCATGCAATTTAATGTTTTCTCTAAATCTTTCCAGGGGCTAAAATTGTGTTGTTATTTTTATGTGCAACAATTCAAGAGGGTGGTACAATAAAGACAGTTTTTCCTCTGTTGCAGCCCCCAGGCATGCTCCTAAAGATGTTCCTAGCAATTTAGCATCCTGATTAATTTTACGTATGGTGACTAAGAATATGTAATCCCACTAGACATTCACTATTTAGATCAGATGGGTACAAATTATCGAGAGCAAAGGCAACATTGATAAATTAAAATTTCTTGTACGACATAAATAAGTATTTGGAATCCTGATCAGCTATTTTGTAGCTAGCCGTGATGAAACCATGGGAGGTGATGACAGCAGTAAGATCTGGGGATATTCAGAAGCATGTCTTTCGTGACAATGGCTATAAATGTACTACTTTTTATAAAAGATTGGTGAACCTCATGCAACAATGTAGCTATGTAGTGACTTCAATTTCAGAAAGATATCTTTAATGCTAGCCAAGATAAAATATAGTCTTGTAAATTTCCAGGCAGATGTGCAGTGCATAAATAAAGTCACAGTATCCTTGAAATAACTCCTTCAGAACCCTCACCCCACCAGATCTGGCCTGTGTTGCTTCTTCTCAAATAAACTGAAATCCTACTCCCCTACCACCTTCCCAGGTTCATTCACATTTATTGTACATAGCAAGAGATGTGTTGCAATTTGAAGTGAAAGGCACTGAGAAACTGTCATAGGACTGTATTTCAGTCTCTGGCATGGGTGAAATTCAGCAGGTTCTGACAGGTTCTGAAGAACCGGTAGTGGAAATTTTGAGTAGTTTGGAGAATCAACAAATACTACCTCTTGCTGGCCCGAGTGGAGTGGGAATGGAGATTTTGCAGTATCCTTCCCCTGCCACGCCCACCAAGCCACCCCAAAGAACCGGTAGTAAAAAGTTTGAGTAGTTTGGAGAATCAACAAATACCACCTCTTGCTGGCCCGAGTGGAGTGGGAATGGAGATTTTGCAGTATCCTTCCCCTGCCACGCCTACCAAGCCACCCCAAAGAACCGGTAGTAAAAAAAATTGAATTTCACCACTGCCTCTTCACTAATGTACATAATACCACATACAGATTCAATTACCATTATTTATGTATACACACACACATATATGCTGGTCTTGTTGTATTCGGATCTTTTCCCATGTAAGATTGAGAAAGTCTTGGCAACGTTTCGGCGAGATCCCATTCGCCATTTTCAGGCTGGTGCCTTCGGCTTCAGGCCTGTGCGAGCAAAGCGTGATCGGAGTTGCCGTCTTTCTATAAATATTGGTAATTGAATCTG